GGCATTTCGCCGCCCACTAACTTTTGATTCTTGAACTAAGCCCATGACCCCAAAAACATAACCCCCTACACAGATTCCGAGAAACCTGAAATACCAGACTGCTTAACCAGAATCCTAAAAAAAGGGAGTCGCTGGCCTTCTGATCTGGACCTCAAAGAGTGCCCAAGGTGATTTGTCGGGTTAAGGCAGTAGGCTCAGTAGGAGGAGCTTTGGGTTCAGGATTCGCGGCTGCAGGAAGTTACGTTGGGGTTTGGGGTTGGAGTCGGGCTTCAACCTTAGAATGTTTCAGATGGATGTGGGCCTGGGGTTTTCTGTCCTGTGCCGTGGTTGATGCTAGCTGCCGCGCGTTGACACTGAAGTGATGCTGTTCATCCTTGTTTGGCAAAAAGGGCTGTGCTTGATTATGTCTGTGTCGCTTACTGCATTTTTCTCGCACTGTGTTTGCAATGTTTCTTGTTGGTGCTGCTTCGCTGCTGTAGGTCCGGTAGGTGTGATACGTGTTTTCGTTCTTCTTACACCTGTCGACTCCATGATGCAAACAGCACAAACCTTAAACCTGTATTACCCCAACAGCGTACAAGCCTGCCAAGGGTGAGAAGCGTAAAGGCAAGGGCTGTGGGATTATCGGCCAAGAATACTTAAGAGTACAAGGACTTCCTGAACTCCACAGTGATTAAAAGAATGATGCCGAGAAGCCACCGGGGCCATTAAGATAGCAAGGCCGCTTCCAAAGAAAATGCCCAGAGATCGAGAAAGAGGCAGCAAGCCACACCCAACAAAGCTAAAAGCCTTAAATCTGATGGCCGTAAAGCAAGTGCAGGAGAAGACAGGCCTTGACGCAAGTCGCCGAAGCCTCAGGTGTTTGGTCTGCTCATGGTGCTTACAGGATCGAGGGGTTTAGTAAATAGGGCTTCAGAGTGTGGGATTAACCTTTAGCACTCTAGGGTTTAGGATTTAGAGATTTATTAGGATTGAGGGTTTGGATCATGGCGACTAGCTATGGTGATGTCGTGAGGCCTTTTTCGTGCCTGTGACTATGACCGGTTCTGTAGTTCTGTTGAGACGGCAGTCAGCATCGGAAAGATTATTGCCGGTGTAACCATCCTCGTTTTCAACTTGCTTCTTGTTATCATGGGCCACTACTCCGTTTATGATTGGTGCTGCGACTGTGATGGTGTTGGAGTGGTTTTGAGATAACACAGGAATCATGAATTCCTTCGTCGCCCCTGCCGTCATGGCTGTGTGTGTTGGGGGAGTGGAAATGTCGAAAATGAAATAGATTATCAGTCGGCATAAAAAGCTCCATACTCCAACAGCGCGCAGTGCAGATCAACGCTTCCGCTTTCCGAAAGACTCTGAGCTTGGACCTTTACTAAGGCGTCGCATCCGGGGTATATGTCGGTACCAACCATGGTGATAAGTCATGGCACCACCGCTACTATTGTCAGCAGCTTCATCACCATGCAAGCTGGTGTATCTTGCCAGCTTGCCAAGCCCAGGCCATACCAGTCCGATACTCCTCTAGCCCAAGACCAGAATCCGACGGTAAGCCGCTGTCGTGAACAGCAGCCGTCGCATGAGAAGCATCAAGTGCTGTTTAGTAGTGGTCTGGGGCTTGGCGAAATCCATCTGAATTGTCATCATCCTGGCCAGCTACCGCAGCTGAACCCGAAGATCACGCTGAGACATGGTAGCTTGGGGAAGTTTAGTGCTTTGGCCGGGGGGGTTTTGCCCTCTTGCAGCGTAGTGCTCACGCTGTCGTAGCAACTGGAGCCCTTCGGCAAAAGCCGACAGGTTTCCAGGATTAGCTGCTGACTGGAGTCGTTTCAGGCTTGCCGGCTTGCCCCTCATTATCGAGATAATTGGCGACAACATGCAGGAACAGCGATTGCAGTAGTAGGTAGAACAGCAGTGTGTTTGAAGCAATCAAAATGGTTTCAGATCTTCATATACCCTAGACATCCGAAGTCCCTGAAGCACCGAGGCCCTAGCCTTGAAACCCGGCACCCGAAGCATGGAGCTAGTGGAACTTCGGATGCGCAGCGGTTTGTCGTGATGGAAAGCGACAGCCCTGCAATTTTGTACCGTTGTTTTTGCGTTTGGGTGTGTTGTTATGGGCGCGGGGCTTAGGTCCTTCGGCAGGCTTTTGGAATCCGCCAGCAGCTAGCTAGTTATTATTTCGTTCGGGCGCTGCTCTTCGAGCTTAAGCCGACAGCCTACATTCCAGGGTTTAGTGTCTCCGGTTTGGATGGTACTTAAGATCAAGCGGTGATCGAAGAGTGAAGCAGCCAGCGGTGCTCAATGTTGTCATCGAGCCACTTGACGCAAGTCTGTAGCTTTGCGTGTCGCATCTCTCTAGTATAGCACATGATGTTGAGCTGTCGCGCTGTTCTGTGGCAAGACAGTATTGCTGTGGCAAACGCATGTCGTGCAATCAATGCAAGCCCAAAAGCACTAAACCCTGCAGTTCTAAAGCTTGCAACCACGTGGCATGGGAGCTTCAGAAACACAGGGCATGAAGCAAGAGCCTCAATATGGACCTCAGACAGGATGCTTACCTCGTTGTTCAGAACCGGCTAAAGGGAAAAATCCGAAAAGACCTAAGGCGGCCCGCCTTCGAATCCTACATTTCTGTGCAGATCACGGCAGTCGTTTTGTATCCTGACCTCGGTCCTTCGAACCCTGCCGTAAACCTTCAGAACCTACCTTGTTGTGGGTCTTGTTTCTCATACTAACTATTCTTGAGTTTTAAGACCTGAAAAAAGATCAAGTAGAGGTTGCGAAAGCAAGGAGTTCGGACTTGCATTCAACTTGCTCATCGACCCCCAAAGAGTTGCGGTGCGCACACCCGCAGCCCTCACCCAGAAATCTCGAGCCCCGATCTCCAAGCCGTGCACCCCAAGAGCTGGTTGCCTTGCATGTCCCAAGTGGCCCTCCAGTGTCCAAAGAGAATTTATCTTACCTGCCGGCTGCGGACCTCACTGGCCTGAGCAGCGAAGCCATCAAACCTTGTCAGAATTCAGGCATTGAAGGCCCAGAGTTTCCAACACCTGACACCCTGACTCCAAAATTCAAATTTTTCTACGTCCTGATCCGGAGGAATTGCTGGCCAGAGGTAAGTAGCCGACAGCTAAGCTGTGTCCGCTGACGCGGTCGGCCCCGGTGCCGCGCCTGTGGCGAGTATCCGAGTTGTTAGCGAAGATCTCCGGATGTTTCTATTCGAGCCTGGGTCTTTCTAGATAAATGCGCTGCATTGGTGGCGATGGTGATTCATACACCTTGAAGCCTGGAAGGATAAGGGTGTTTAGGGTGTTACTTCACGGCAGTTTGTGCCCGAAGCTCCCATTCTCAGTATTATAGACAAGAGGGTCCGATTGATTGAAATCGCCCCATTGAGTCAAAGTTCCCGTATTTCCTCAGATCTTCATCCCGAACCCCGACCCTACTCCAAGCTTCCAAAACAAACAAAAACGCATATGCAACCCTGTAAAGCCATGTCTGAACTACAGTTCATGTATCCCTGTGATGACCTGACCATGGTTGTGAATGTGATATATGTTTTCCCGCTGCTATTAGGGCCCTTGAGTGTATCAGATAGCTTCGCAGTGCTGGTGAAAAGTCCGACCAGTTTCATACTGGTAGCGGAGCCGGTACCCCCTTGGTGGACCGGCCGAGCGGGGACCTAGTAGCCTGTAGTCCGTGGTGACTTGGGCGAATCCTTTAACTTCGACCCTGCGTAGATTCTCCGTGCCCCTCCATCATCGCCATGTCTGTTGCGGGGCTTCGGTTTTTCCGATTCTTGATGCCCCCAGCACGTTTCACGATTGGGAGTTTAGGACCTTTATGAGGCTTAAAGTATACGAAGATGCGATTCGTGACAAGACCAAGACGACGACAAAGGGCGATAAAACCATCGACCCAGACGACAGCGACGACAGCCACACCGAAGCCAGGATATCCCGACAAGGGCCGCAGCCGAAACTCCTGTACCCGCCGAGGACAGGCCCGACATGGAAGCCGACGCAGCCGGATCCCAAGGCGGACCTCCTTCGAGGCCGCCACCGCAGCCGCACCAATGCACGAAACCACGTCCTACGCCATCAAGGCAAGGACCGAGATGGTTCATAAGGTTCTAGAAGGACTTAGGGAAGAAGCCTTTGAGTGAGCGCGGGATATAGGCATAGAGGCTTTAACTGCCCGACTTCATCTCTCGCATGAGGAACGTTGTGTTCCCACGCACTGCAGAAGAAGCCCGCGAGCTCTTCAGGGCAGGTCAGCGCCAGGGTGCCCTAGCCCGCCAAGGTGGTGAATCAATGCTGTCGTACGTCAGCCGGCGACGACGCTGGTGAAGTTGCTACAGTCCCTCGACGATAGCATCGAGCTTTCTGAGCCGATGCGGGTGGAACTTCTTTTTGAGCTGTCCGGCCTTAGCCGACAGGAATCCCTGGTGATCAAAGCCTGCACCTCGAACGCCACAAAATTTTGAAGCAGTCGGTGCTACCCTTGTGGAGCACTACAGTGGTGGACGAGGAAGCAGAGGAGTACGACGACACCTCGTACCCCGCCTTTGGGGACGAAGCCGACTACGAGCCGCACTCCTACCCCGCAGCAGAGGAGGAAGACGACCCGAGCTACGAGGAATACGAGCTCGATGAAGACGAGGCCCTAGCCCTGAATTGCCTCGAGGAGCTTGATCCCGTGGAGGCCGAGAGTGGACATGCGATCCAACTCCAACTTGCCGCGAACGCTGCGTTTGGCGAAGCAAAAGGCCGAAAGGGCAAAGGCCGCGGGAAAGGCAAAAGTAAAGGTAAGGTTGTCCGTTCGCATCTCACCTTGGATGAGCGCAGAGATGAAATGAAGGCGCTTAAGGCAAAATCCAAGTGTTTGAGATCCGGCGCGATCGGTCATTGGGCCGGGGATCCTGAATGCAATTTCCTACCCAAAAGGGAGGTAAGCAGGGGAAGAACCGCGCCAACATCGCAATTGTTGCCCCGCGACAGGACCCCCACGGGGGCCTGTACGTCCCGTCTGGTAACGACGACGACCTTTGCAGCCACATGGTAAACGAGCTCAGTTCTAAGGCCGCGCCAGCGCAGCCATCTAGCAGCATGCAGATGGAAGGTGGAGACCGCAGGTTTACTGATGGGCAGCACAAAGGCCAAACCTACGAAGAGGTATCAAGGAAGGTAGAGTTTGTGAAGTGGGCGCTCCTGCAGCCAAGCCCCGCTTCTCACCTTAGGGATCTCTTGGCCTGGTTTAATAAGTACTATACTATTAAGGAAGGTCTAGATAACAGGCCCCACCGCGAAACCCATGCATCGCTAGGTATCCCAGAGGGAACCTACAACCCGCGACCCCGCGGCAAGGGATCAAAGAAGGTACCACCGAATCCGCCCAAGGATCGGTGCGCAAACTGCACCGACTGTAGCTACGCCGGTAGCTCAGCAAACTTCGTGCGGAAGACCTGCCGCGACTGTGGCAATGTCGCAAGAGCGCGGCGAGCACGCGTACACGGTAGACCCCGCCGCTTGCTCTCACGAAGCGACGGACCACAGGGGAAGTTCGAGGACCACTTCCCGAACCTGTTGTCGCATGTGCGGGACCTTCATAGATGAGGTACCCCAGAGTTTTCACCGAGAACGGAAGGCCGTCTCGGAGAAACTAGTTGAGGCCACCGAGCAGGCGACGATGCGACGGCAGACCTCAATGCAGAGGCTGTGGAACAACTTATGGCTTTGCTCCAGGATCGCGTATCCCAGGCGATTGCGCTGGAGGAACGCATCCACCCCGCTGCACTACACGAGTGGCTGCGCGAGGCCATTACGGCCGTGCTGACCGGAGCCCGGCCAGCCCCATCTGGGGATTTGTCCCGACCGCCATGGTTGCCCGAGGCAGGAGCCCGGGCAAGCACAAAGGCAAAGGAAAAGGCAAGGCCAAGGACAAACGGAAGCCGCCGGCTCCCGAGACGCAGTCCGGTGGAACTCCCGCAGAGCCGGAGTTTTACCGGATATCGGACCCCCTTCAACCTGATACTTTCGTGGGTAGCCAATGCCCAGAGCTAGACATGAAGCCATTCTCCTAGAAAGCTTTCGCGCGGACGGCAAGCTCCACGATCCGTTTCCGGGCGATTCCTCTGACGATGGTGCCCCTGGAAGTTACAATGTAGAGGAATTAGACGATGCCCTCGAGCGCCAGGCCGCCGAGGACGCACAGAAGGAGCTGGACGAAGCTTTTGAGCGAGCTCGTCAGCAAATCGCCGCCGACGATCCATTATTGTCCTCGACTCTGCCACGGCCCCTGCGAATAAGCTTGGTGTTCGTCATGTGGCCGGCAGAGAACTCCAGCGCTTGGAGTATCAGGCCCGCAATCCAATCCACGACCATTGACACGGACCGACAGAGCAAGACCGCGATGGGGCAAACCGTGCTCAAGCTGACGCCTGGCAGCGTCGACGCGATGCTATCCCTATCCCAGCGGAAGCACATGCACAAGCCGCCGCGAGGAACCCTTCGGGGTCCTCTGAGTTGAGGAATCCTTCGGGATCCTCTTCCTCAGCGCAGCCGCAAAATACCCCTAAAGACCCATAATCTCTAATCTAAGGGAGTGAAGGCTTCTTTGAGGGATTTGGTAGGTCGGCCTTCGGACCTTAGATCGGTAGATGTGTCCCAGGCATACATGCAAGCTCCCGACGGTAACGATTGCTACGCAAGGCACTTGCCAGTGAAGCCGTGTTGGGTAACACGTGCAGGCAGCCCGCCGCAGCAAGTAAGACCCGTATGGGTAACCCAAGCACCTGCCCAGGACCTCTCTGCCACAACCTCATCGTCCAGTGCCGCGCCCGAGACGAGCGTGTCTGGGTAAAGGGGCTGCCTACCTTTAGAATCTGAGGCCTTAACTCCCCGGAAACCTAAAGGTCCACAACAACGACTTGCGTGAGCTGAACGACCCCCATGACGGGCGCTCGGTTCATGCACTGGGCGGCACCCAGGAATCCTGGATGGGATCCTGGCTGGAGACACGCTCTGGACGAACCCTGTTGTCACTCTGCTTTGCGGACATCGAGAAGGCCGTCGACGGGTACAAGCTGACCATCATCCTGCCCTTCTGCACGTCGAACCGATACCGCAGCGTAGCCATTGGCACGCTTATCTCGGCAGGGCTCTACGTTCTTGGGATGGACCACTTTCTTGGCCATCTCCATGCAAACGAGAACTGCTCTACCATGAAGTGCGGAGGCAAACGTGCAAAGTGCCGTGGACACTAACCTCTACGATTCTACGGCCGAGCCTGCGTGGCCGACGAGCGGAATGCCTGGTTCCCGGAGCAACAAGAGGCTGGATTTCTGTCGGGATACCACCAGACTCCAAGGAGTACCCCTCGTGGGACTCCCAGGCGTGGGCGATCTACCCGTAGGAGATGGTGATGGCTACATCTCGAGGAGTTCCACAGCTGGCCGCTCTCGATCTGGATTTCAACGACGAGGCAAGATGGGCGAGCGGTCTGTGACACCTGGGCGTGGGTCTGGCCTTGGAAGCTCTGCTGGTAACAACCACCGTACCTTGTTTGGGGACGGTCACGACACTATGGAGGCGATCGAGGAGGAGACGCTCAATATGTCAAGATAGAGATGTGGGGTGGCTCAGAGCAACACACTGGCTTCCTGACGTGTTGGACTTTGAGCTGTGGTGGCGCCAAGGAAGAAGGAGTGGTTGCTTGGAAGCCGTTAAAAGACAACCCTATCTTTTTCCTCGGCGAGAACCTAGGAAAGCAACACTTCTCGGTTTTTGGGATTGTGTCCTGGGTTGACGGGTTCAAGGTTATAGTTCTGCATACTGGAGGTTTGAGGATTGTGACTGAGGCGGTTGCTTTGTTTCGTCTACGCCTTGGACCCAAAAGCCGCAGACCTGCTTGTCCAAGCGACGACTCACAGAGTTCAAGGCAGCGGCCTTGGGCTTAAAGATGCCTGCCTCCTCATCCGATGGGCCAGTTCAGCAAGAACAGAATGTGTCGCAATAAAAAGAGTGATGGTCCGGCGGCCTTCTATGAAAGTGCTGGTAAACGACGCTGCGGCATTTCGTGCTCTCTTTTCAGAACGTTGAAAATTGGCCGTCTGATGAATGTGATATGTAAACAAGTCTTCCGGAAGCGCCCAGCGCTGGCTACCCGATCGGATGGATCAGCAACAGGGAGCAGTTGTGTTGCAGAGCCTTCGCAGGTTCGACCACAGGCTGCTTGATTATCATATGGCCAGAGCGGGTTGGAATTGGAATCACGATCAAAGGCCGCTGGGAAAGTATGACGAACTGGCCACCGCCAAGGCTCGCTGCACCGGCCGAAGACACCAAGGATCAGCGGGCTAAAGCAACTGTGGATGCTTGGCAGGAGTGCTAACACCTTCGTAATCATCTAAACCAAGATGGCGAAAACTGGAACGATGTCCTGTTTCGTGCTATTGCACAGGTCACGTGCGTCAGTGGCAATCTAGCCGTGGCAAGATTTGTTGTGAAAGGCCCGCTGCTGCGCAGGTGAAGCGTAGGTTAAACATTTTAACAACAGTCTGCCAGGGGTTGCACGTCGTCTAGGCAACAGGTTCTTTGCAGAAAGCTAGGTAGGCCGTGTGACGGAACTGAGACTCCGAAAACAAGAGAAGACTCAACAAGTGGCATGGGAAGGGCGCGGAAGACAAACAGGCTTCATAGTGTTGAAAACAAACCGGCGACATGACTTACCCGATCAACTGCTCTGAGAATGTTTTGATTGCGGGTTCTTCAAGAAGCCCTCGCTGACTCCGAGCCACAACGAGATGTCTGGCAATGCCGGAAAAACCATAACCCTGCAGCAATTTAGAGACAATCACATCACGACTATTATGGCCAGGACCATCCTGAAACTTTTCATGCTCGTGTCCTGCGAAGCATCAAGAATTACAAGCTTGTGTGGCCTTTCCTTCTTTGACTTTGTCATTCCTAGCAACAGCAGCTTAGGTGAATTCATCGCTTCGTTTGGCTCTTTGAACTTTGGCAAGGCCATCAAGCTCCGCCCGTCCATCTTGCTGACTTCAGGATGAGAATCATGGTACCTTGGTCATTCCAAGACTGCTTGTGCGTATGGGCTCTTTGCTCCTTGGGGACATCCTAAGTGGGACGGCCGCGGGAATACTTCTAGGATTCGTGAGAAAAGTGTTGTAAAGCATATCCGAATGAGTGCGTTTCCTTTGGATGCATGTTCCTTCCTTTCCTCCGTGCAGAAAGCACGGCAAATCCAAACATAAGTGTTGTTGTTAGCAAAGCTGGTGCCCTTCTTGATAATGGGACTTGTCACGGCGCTTCTGGCTAACAGGACCCTGGGTTTCGTCCGAAAGCCGCGAACAACTCCCCAGCCCCAAGTCCTTGCGAAAAGGAAGAAACACATCTTCTTGACCACACCCCCTGCTGGGGACATCAGTGGGAAAGGATTCAGCACTGCAAGCAGCCCTGGATGCCCAGGCCAACCTTCCCCCCACTTCTTCTTCTTCTGATCTGCCCTAGCAAAGCGATAGTACTCTTCGTTCCCTGATGGTCTTGATCGTGGCGCGCATACTACAGGAAGACATTCTGCTGGTATCAAACTGAAGATGACACTCTTGCGTTTTCATGAACGGCTTGCTGTGCGATGCGTTGTGCATCCGAAATTGTTCTGTGAGCATCGGCCCGCCTTTGTCGTGACACTGCTGCCACGGACCGCCCGTGAGCACATGTGCTTTGCACCCGACAAGCTGCGCGAGTTCCGACACGATGATTGCCAAGTTGTCCTGAGCCTTCTGTTCAGGAAAGCCCGTCGGTAGGCTGCTGGAGCGGTGACAGGCAAACTGGCCATGTTTGGAGCGCTTGTGGACTTTGTAGGGGTTGAGAAAAATATTGATAGTGGAGGCTTGACATCGGGAGTAAGTTGAGAGACCAGCAGTTTCGCTTTCTGCGGCTTGACTGCTGAAATTTCCTTTCATGTCCACCAAATATAAGTGCATGGAAAAGGCTTACCATCAACAGCAAAACAGGCAAAAGACATGATATTCTTGGGACTTCGCGATCTCAGTATAGGGATTCGGGCTTCAGGATTTAGGCTGTACGGGAGAGTTCGTCCAGCTGGTTTATGTCCAGGAAGAGACCGAACAGGTTCGCAATTTGAGTGTCTCGTTTTTGTGGAAGTAGCGCTCAGGAGCATTGAAGGTCTTACAGGCCTACCTTGATACTATTCCTTGGGGCCCTTTATGATAAATTCAGTAAAATACAATTCTCATTATCCCATGTCGCTTTTTCCACACCAGGAGCCAGGATTCGGGACTGGGGCTTGGGATGAAAGTCTTCAAGCAGGCACTACAAAAGTTCGGCACTTCAGCTTTGACCGCATCATTTTTGCTGACTATGAGGTTGCCAAGCACCTTTGCTGATCAAATCATGTGGGTAGACCTCACTCCAAGACCTCTCCATAGTGCCCTCCGGCTCTGCACAGAAAACATGCCGTTTTTGATGTCGACTGTGAGTGCGGTACCGTGGCCTTGCCATCCTGCCATACCATAGGCCACAGGCGTCTTCACATGTGGCGTGCGGTGCCGCATGCCACCTTCTTGACTGCCATTTGCGAGACAACCTTGTCATGGAATCGAGCGCACACTGCTTGCGCTCTGACCCTGTATCCGCCTCTACTGCATACAAAGCGACACTGACAGCAGCAGATTCCCACCGGAACGAACATGGGTTGCTTGATCAATGGCTTTCTTTCGTTGTGCTCTAGGATTCTAGGCTTCTTAAACCACCTTTGCATTTTTCGAGTGGGCCCTGTTGGTTTCTTTGTTCTTCTTGAAGTAATTAAGTAAATTGCCAATTTCGTGTTTCACACGCTCAGTCTTGAGATCTTGGTTTCTCTTGCATCCTGAAACCTACATTTTTCTTCGCTGCGTGGAGCAAGGCAGACAATTCCAGGGCGCGCTTCCGCCAAACCGTAGCAGGGGCCAAGTCGCGGAAGCTTGACACACACAGTTGTGCGGAGTGTGGTTAATGACCACGACCGATGGAAGCACGCCCAAGTCGGACTGTAGCCATCCACAATAAGCCGCCACCAACGCGTCGGGAGCCAGCGCAGCAAGCACCACGAAGACTTTGCGAGCGCGGCGTCGGGGCCCGTAGATGAGGTTGCGAAGGTGCTTCGTTGTGCAAGGCTCCAACCATGAGCAGGCAAGTCAAAAATGCGTCAGACCCGAGAGACGGGCTTATAGGTCCTTGGCGGTTCAGAGGTCCCTGCGCGGAAGCAGTGACGAGAGTCAGGGTCTTCGAGTGGCCATTCAGCACGAGCTTTGACCCCTGCTCTTAGGCCGAGACCACATATACTATTCATTAATCTGCTTTGCCCGAGGTGCCTTCCACAGTTCTCGTGCCGAGCATCCACACGTATAAGTGTAAGTTTCTGACTCCACTAGAAAATCGCGTCTTCGAACTGGCGGTGTCACCAAATCATGTTGTTCCGGAAACCTCTGATCATGGATAGAACGGCTCTGACCACCTTATAGTCTGTCTCCTGGCGAGCTTACTCTATATACCATGGGAAGACGAATGTCTCTTTTCTGCTTGGTCTTAGCCCATGTCTGAGCAGGTCGCGAGGTCTTGAAGCGGAAACACTTCAACCAACAACAAGATTGCAGTCGCAACTGGTGGCGAGCAGGCCTGTTCTGGGCCCATTAATGTTTCCACTTTTTGCAAAAGATCAGGAAACGCCGGCCTGTGAGTTTTGAGCTCGTCTTGCTGCCCAGCGATTGTCCTTGAACACATGTCGGAATTGTTAAAGACGACACTTGCAGCCTGTTGGCTGCAAGCGTTCTGTTTGATGGGTAGAGTGTGCAGGAGCGCGGCATTTTGGAAGCAGCTCGTGAGTCCAATGTGTGGGGGGGGGTGATGGGGTTGATTGTGTTTGTTCGTTTCTTGAATTTAGTGCTCCTGATTCACGGTTCAGGAGCCCCTAGAATAATACGAGCTGGGGTTTCTGGTTACGATCCATTGTGTTGTGAGACCCCCAAAGGACCTCGAGTGTGAGAGCACTTTGAAGCAGTAGTGCTCCATGCTCCGTTTCCAGTTGAACACTATACTCTGAACCCCCAACCTAGGAGTTAGTCCATGATCGTGGTCCAGTTTTCAAGCCATGGTTTGCTTGCAATGATTCAAATATCCAGCCGCATACCTACCAGGCCTAAAGCATGAACCACCCCAATGCCCCTTAGCCCATGCGG